ATCTGCTCAGCAAAATTTCTTTTTTGCTCAGAGAAGTGTATGTTCTGCTCATCTACAAAAAAAATTAGAGGGAACATTGAAGACAACTGGGTGCTACTTGCACTATTTTTGCAATTGTATTAGAGAATGTTCTCTACATTAGGGAGTATTTTGAGATAGAGATAATGCTTTTGGTCTTTTTTTTTAAAGTGGCCACTTTACATTTTGTTTGGAAATGCCACAGACTCTTTTTTTAATGATTCTACATCAATTATGGAACCATTGTATATACTATTAATTCTATCCATTACTTCCAGTCATTCATCTCTCAAAGTACTTTTTTGAAGTACGGAGTTTTCAGTTATTTTTGAACAAGTTAGTGGGGGTAAAAAAATGGCACATACGTCCAGTTACTACTGTGCATGTGACATTTTACAATAATTCCAGAATCAATAAAGAATATTTGAATATTCTTTGATCTAACATGTTGACCACTGAACAGGACATGTTGATCTGAACAACTGAACCCTTTCCAAACTTCTGATGTCATACAGCCAAATCCTGCAGAGACTTTTTGAGGACAACATTAGCATTTATAAAGGTACAATCTTAATATTTTAAATGATGTCAGAATCACACAAAGAAAACCAATCAGTTCAAAAGAAAATATGACCAAACCTAGAACAAAGGTGGTCATCTGGAAAGTAAAGATTTCCATCACAGTACCAAATCCTCTGATTCAAACAGTGTTGACAAAGAAGTGTGACTAATGAATGACAGTGACACTTGACAATTCTTTGTCAATGCTGTTTGAGTCAGAGGATCCTATGTTGATCACATTCTAAAACCATTGTTTGAAGAGCATCTGCCAGAAATACTTTGTGCACTCCAATGAGATGCACAAAGTATTTCTGTATCACAACAAAGTAAGCTCATACTACCTGCAAATGACTGAACAATATCTTGAGTACTTTTATCAGAAAATGGAGATTAGTTACATCTAAAAAGACATTGAACAGTTGCAATCTCAGTCCTGTTGACTTCTTTGGATTTGGATGGCTGAAACCAGAAGCTGCTTATCCAAAAACAGATAACATTAGTTGATGTTTGGAAAATTTCCAAATAGAAGTGGTTCAAGATTGATGTTGAAATGGTCAAAAAGGTCTTCAATTTGTGGAAACAGCATTGTTAGGCAATGTACATAAGTAATGGGGGTTAAGCAAATAAAAAAATTTGTTACGCATTTGTTACATTGACATCTCTTGTAATGAATGTGTTCAAAAATAACTAAAAAATTCTGTATTACTATTTATTTTTTCCTTAATGTCTAATGCAAACTCAGTTATTAAAATTTATATTTTTGAGGAAACATTATTACCTGACTTGTGAGACATTTTGACAAGCTTACTTGATCTCTATATTACTGTAATGTGATTTGAGCAGAACAAGAAGACACTAGTTTTGGTACTCAGATTGGCTTGGTTGCTGTATGTGGGCTCATGACAAATACATCCAAGAATTATTCAAATACCTAGCAGAAGTTTGTGGATTAAGCCTGGTAATAAATTTTTTAAGGGAACAATTGATACTTACTTTCTGCAGGACTAAACTCTTCAAAGCTATGTTTATCTCAGATTATCTAGTTTTAATTTTTAAATAATTTCTTATTATTATTAATACCAATATTATTCTCTCAAACATAATTTGTTATGGAGTTATACTAGTATCAGTAATATATAGTAGTCAGCATTTAGAGTAAACATTAACCTACTGGAGGCTTTCTCTTTGCATAGGCTATAAGATAAATAGCACTTTTGAAAAAATTATCCAATATCAACATTCACTATTTATTCTTAAAATAATCCTAAAAGTTTTCTTGTAGTACAGTAGTACAAATTAAGTTGATGGAAAGAAATTCCCTTTGAATAATATAGAACATGAAGACTTTTCCTCTAGGTAACTATTTTTCATTTTCCTAAACTAAAATATATTTAAAGTGAAGATTGTTTTAAAATAAAACAAATACTTTATTTCAAAAAGTAAATTCTTTTAATGCAAAAATTTAATTAACAATCCAGAACATTGATTATTATTAGTATTTTCTGTCATATGTTAAGGTTTATCTCAGATTCCTCCAGCAAGTTCATACACTTTTTCAGCCACTTCTCTTGCTAACATATCTGCATTCTCCTGGAAAATTAAAACTAGTTATTATAAAATGTTTAAGTTAGGAATATTTACTTTTATATTATAAAATAATAATGTGTGTCTACTCTCTTTACACTTCAACTTATCTGGACCAAATTTTTCATAATTACTCTCTAAGACCTTATGGAAAATAAAGGCTACCAGTCTGGATATGGAATTGCATTAATCAATGAAGGTGATTATGGCAATTCTGGATTTTGAAGTTCTGTTAAATTAAACCATTCATTTGAGTTAGCCTCAAAAACCAAACTTTTAAAAAGACCAAACATTAAAATTATGACATCTGAGAATATTTTCTAGTTCACTAGCAAATATGCATGGCATATGTATAATGTGGTTTAAAGTTATAATTGTGTAATTAAAGGATATTTTTCTCTATTGTGGGATATTCAGGATTGCAAAAAAGTGATTGAATATCATAAAAGAATGTCTATGTAAAGCATGCATGTAGTGTTAAGTGTGAAAATATCAATAATTATTCTAAAATGTTTTAATCCAAAGTAAAACAAACTAAACTTGAATAAAAAATCAAAATAAATTTGATGCTTTATATGATGAATAACAGTTGACTTAACAAACTTTTTAACAACGTTTTCTTAACTCTGTTGCAGATATTAATTAATTTTAACTTTTATCACAAACCTGTGTTGTTGCTTCAGCATAAACTCTAACCAAGTCTTCTGTTCCTGATGGTCTGAAATGAAAGTATAAACAATGTTTTCATTTTTAGATTGAGAAATGCATTTTATGATTATGAAATAAATTTAATTTGATCATAAAATACGTTAATTAAAAGAACTTCTGACTACATAAAGTTATGGTCTGTAAAATAATAAACGAAAAAGATAGTTAATCACAATTTACTTCTTATTGGAACACACAGTTAACTTTTTAGTTTTTTTGTACCATTGTTTTATCACCAGATTTTTATTTTAAATTAAAATTATCAATCTTCTAATCTGAAGAAGCTTTAAATAAAAGTGGCAAAAATGGTTATTTTAAACTTTTTAATCTTTATTGTTGATAAAATTGCAAATCTTTTAATTTGGACTTTTCACAAAGAAGGATGCCTATATATTTCTAGTTAAAATTATTTTGCACATGATATAAAATTGGAAATATGACTCTTTTAGAATAGTAAAATAGTTTGCTAGTTATTTTGTATTTTTAAATTACATTATACAGTATAAATAAATGGTCATCATCTAGGTTAAACGAGTTTGCTTATTTTCTACAATGGTTTCCATAAATTCAGGAATAAATAGGAAATTGCAATAATTTGGCTAAATACAACTCATTTGCCTAAAACATATCTGAGTTTAGTGAATATTGAGTTGTGCATTTGCATATACCTATGTAAGTACAAGAGCATTTAGCAATGAAAGAAAAAATATCAAGTTAAGCCATTTTCTTAAAATGACATTCATTTACTAGTGGAATTACATTACAGAGCTTTAGGCAGACTTAAAGCAGGTGGCAGGTTGCAAGATGACAATGTAAGTCATTCTGTGGTCCATAGAACTTTAAACCAATTCCAAACCATATGGTCTGTCTACTTCTTGAATATATAATCAAGGTAGGTGAAGGACAACTACCTGCTTGAAAGACTGCTGTTTGGGACTATTTGAACAACAGAATGGAACTATATGAAGGGTAAGTACCTGATAATTATGCATATCCCTAACAGCTCGCCACAGGAGGGAACATTGGAATTGGGAATGTATGCAGGTTAACTGGAGCCCAAATCAATGGAGATCTGTACTTTTTATGAATGAGTTGTTGGTTTTTTTATAATGGTTTACAGAGTGATTCTCAACACGTTTTCATCTGGAAATACCCAATATCATCTCTCTCATATTCACAAAAGGAGCTTGTTTGGGACACCACCAACTGGGCAATAGCAAGTGGGCACTGGACATCTGGGCGATAAAATAAGAGATCAATAATAGACAAAATACAAATTTTTTGTTGAATAAATTTAATTTG